TGTTGCATGATGAAGAAACGCTGAGCATTCAGTGACCTTGTAGCAGCGATTTCTGCCGCTTTGCACGAGTTTTTTGTTCGTAGTAAATACGCCAACAGTGTTTTTGTTATATTTATAAAGATTTTGTTCGACAACTGAAGGCGTTTCCGCCGTCCTTCTGTCATTTTTGTGCCTGTGAAATGTCCCCGGGGTGGGGGCATTTGATCACCTGAATGGACCCTAGTGTGGGGCATTTGAACGGCATTTTGGGCCCGGGTAGGGTGGAATTTGAACAATAATTTTCAAAAAAGTCAAATGCCCGGGGGGTTGCCCGGGGGGGGGGGGGCATGTTGAAGCTTTGATTTGACCGATACATTATGAAAAAGCTAGACCTAAACAAAAAAGAATCATGAAGGGAAGAAATAATTTGGCTTAGGTCGCCTTTCGTGACTTGCCAGTATTCCGAAAGATTTCGCTGGTTAACAAGCCATCCTAAACTACCAGTGGGAAAACTCAAGGGCGACAAATTGGGCAAGGAACGTTCTGATTTCAACGTTCTTCAGAGGAAGCAAATCGATTAAAAGTCGATACAGATTTCGTACAATTCTGATTGGTCGGCTTGGAAGAAGAGATAATCGATAAAGATTTTAGGCAATCCTATTGACTGGCTTTGCAATTTTGGGTACAACCGAACCGGATTTTCACCGTGGGAGTGCCACAGGCATCCCACGGAATAAGATAGATCTATCTTAAAAATAACTTTCAAAATACTTTACAACACTACACGGACTACAAAAAAAATATCTGTAACTGCCGATGTAATTAATATGTTCTTAAAAAAAAACCCCTGTAAAATGCCTTACAGAAGCCCAGGGAAAACTCACTGCACTGGAATATGTAGGCTTGCTTACTTGAGTCAGCAAACTTATACGCGAGGTCACGGGTTCAAATCCCGTCGAAGTCCTGAATTTTTTTCAGGCTTCTTATACGCAATTGCATAAATTGCGTTCACGAGGATTATTCTTCGTTTGATTTCATTTCCGCGGTTCTTATATGATTTATTTTATACACATCAACAACAACATTTTCTTTCACGGGAGCGTATAAACGCATAATTGACTGGCTCCTAACATCAGTGGCTTCATAGCCCAGTTGGTTAGAGCATCGGGGAATCAAATCCCGTTTAAGTCCTGAATTTTTTCAGGCTTCTTAGGCAATTGCACAAATTGCGTTCACAACTGCGAGGATCATTCTTCATTTGATATCATTTCCGCGGTTCTCATCATCCTCGGAAACCCAGGGTCAGTCAGTCGGGTCGGGAGAAAGGGCAGGACGAAAGTTTTCAAGTACTTGAAAACTTTCGTCCCGCCTTTTCTCCCGACCCGACTGACTGCCCCTGGGTCTCCGAGGATGGGTTCTTATATGATCTATTTCATACACATCTACTACAATAAAAGGTACGTAATCGCGTCCGGTGGAAAAAACTACAAGAAATCCGTATCAAATAAATAACTGTTGATTACAGATTTAATTAAGCATTCCATGACACTATTCAACAGTTCGAAACTGTGAAAGGTTTGAACCCAGGAGTCATTTTAAAAGTAGGTTGAGTTTGATCGTCTGGGTGAACGTAGTCCAGAATAGGACTGTTGTTGTCAGACAGTGACTGACGTTTCGACAACCTATGCGGTAGTCATCTTCAGAGTCAAAGTGAGTTGTATCACGTCAGTTGATGGTATTATACTCTGGTTATTGATCTGATTGGTCAATTACGTCGCGATGTTATTGGTCGTCTGTCAGTTAGGCCGTGATGTTATTGGCTATGCCCACTCGTAATCAGTATTAATTGGTGAGTTTCGATCCGTCTATTGTCACAGTTAAAGTGTCGTCTATTAATAGTAAGTCAAATTGTCAGTTCTCCAGTCGTTCTCTCCTAGTCAGAGGAAACTCTCGTAAAGGACCACCTCGATCTTGCCAAAGCCTTTGATACCGTTTCACATAATATTTTATTAAAAAAGCTTGAGCTCTATGGTCTGAATGGTGTAACGATCGACTGGTTTTCATCGTACCTATCAGATAGGCAACAGGAGTGTGTAGTAGGGGGCTGTGTTGCTAAGCTTCAGTTGATAAGTTGTGGAGTTCCACAGGGTTCAATTTTAGGCCCTTTGTTGTTTTTAATATATATCAATGATCTCCCTGGATGTCTTCTCCATACCAAAGCACACATGTATGCCGATGATACCACGATATATGCGTCCTCTGTATCCACTGCTGAACTATATGCCAAGGTAAATAAAGACCTAACTCGCGTTAGGGACTGGCTTCTTGCAAATAAGTTAAGCTTAAATGTCACTAAAACGGAATATATGTTCTTAACAACTACCTTCAAATTATCTAACTTAGGAAGAGACTTTCCAGTTAAGATTGGCAACAATCATGTTAAACGAGTCCAAACAACAAAATTTTTAGGAATTCACTTAGATGAAAGTTTTCAATGGAACGAGCTTGTTGACAAACTTTGTTCAAAAGTCAATTGATCCATCAGTGGTCTAAAACAGGCACGTGATTATGTACCATTAGATGTTCTACATAGTATTTACAAATCTCTTATACAGCCTGTGTTCGACTACTGCGACGTTGTTTGGGACAATTTAGACCAGGGACGTGCCACTAGATATAAAAGCTTCCGAATCTAACGCTATCTTAAAAAGAAAACTGGCTAGTAGGCAGACAAACTGTTGATTACATTTTACTATATTTTATTATTTGTACATATTTTTAGTGTAGTTGTACAGTATTTACTTCTGTTTCTACACGGCTTTCATGTAAAGAAGTTATGTAACTTCTGAAATTACCGTATTCAAATAAAAGTGAATCAATCAATCAATCAATCAACCTCCTGTCAGCGAGTGTGACCAAGTTTCCACGGATGACGGTTTAATAATTTTTCCTTTGTTTTTAACCTCTGAGGCGACCACTTGACGCATCGGCGTGATCTCTATGTTCCCTTTGTACTATGCTAGTTATATTAGAGAATAAGGTTGGCTTTAAGCGACAACATGGAACTACACACAATGCAACGCTTAGAAAATGCATGCGATGAATTATCTTCCTTGAATAAATGTGTCCCGACCTCCTCTGGGAAGAGACCCCTGTGGTTCCATTCTTGTAAACGACCACCTCCCGTACGCGACCACTAAGTCTTCGCGTTTTGGGCGGTCACTTACGGGATGTTCGACTGTATTAAGATTGAAATAGATATTGAAGAGATTTGGATGGTTTTAACAATATTAACCGATAATGAATATTACCTTTGGCTTTGAAGCTCTGTTACTGTTGTTCCCTTTTATAGATTTTGACTGATTTTGGTTCACATCCGGCATTATTCCTTGCTCAGGTGAATTCAATGGGTGCGTCCCATTTGGTTTACGTGTTTTTTGAAGACCAGCTGGTACCTCAGGGCTGTAGCCATTTTTTTTTTTGCGGGGAAATGCGATCCAACGAGGACTTTCAGAGCGAACGAGGCCGAAGGCTCAAGTCTCTTGCGGGATGGTTGGTGGGGGCTATTAGGTTGCCATAGACTGCATTGCGAGCTTTTTGAATAATATGATTTAGGATTTAATGGAGCCGAAACCAATTGTGGAATTGCACACATTTTAGTCATCCTACTGATGAACAGTTGCGACACCTAGATATATACATATTTTTAGCAACTATCTGTCCACTTTGAATGGGTATTTCTCAATCTTTTAAAATTCAAAAGTGATTCTTTTGATTCTTTTTCAAAGAGAGTTATGTACTTTATTTTACAATTTTTTAAAATAAAAATGCCAAGGTCCCTATTTTAAAAGGAAAAAAATTGTTTTATTCGCTTGGTTTGCAACGCATCATATAATCTGTAATTCAATAGTGTGCTCAAGAGCTTCCTTGAGTGCTTCTTAGAAACAGATTCCTTCAGATTCATGTATGTTAGATAGTGGGTGTGTATATTAGAGCCAGTGAAAAGAGCCTCTCTTGTGCCGTGAATACTCGGTAGTGGCCACAGAAAAAAACAGATATTTTAAGCTATCCTCATACACAAGAGCCACGCAAAAGGGAACAATACATACCTTCACCTCCTTCAAGCACAAGAGGACCTGAGATACACCCCCCTCCCCCCAGCGGTAAAATGGCTGTTAAGCAGCCGCTAGGAAAAATAGAATTTCCGATCCTTGAAACGGCCTGATAAATGATTGAGGTCAACTTTAAGAGCCAGTCAAAACGGTTGTACTGCTCTCTCCACGATAACAAAACAAGTTAAAAGTCATGTCCCTTAGCTACAAACTGTCACAATAACAGCGAAGGGAGAAATAATAAGATCATCGCTCTTCAGTCCTAGACGAGCATTATTTTAATTTCCATAAAAGGGCTTGGAGTTGACTGATGCAAGCAACACTAGCTGTTGACCGAGTGGCAGTGCAATTTTTTTACTCTATAAGAGCAGGGTAGCTTTAAAAGAAGCTTTAAAATCCGGCAAGCAACAGTAAGAGCTGTGTCAGCCTGTCAAAACTATACCCGGGAAGCTTTTACTTACTATTATAATGCCGTACAGTTCCGAAAGTAACGACCCTCATCACTTTCGGATTCACGAGCACCCTTCCGCTCTCGCTACTTAGGAGGCTCGCTACTCAGTTCGGGGGGTCGTTACTTTCGGATGGCTAAAATGTGTACTCCACATGGGTACTTTAAAAAATTAAATCGCAAAAAATGTGAAAGGAATACTTTTTGGAAAAAAAGTAAATCCGGTACTTTAAGACGTACTAATAGAGATTTCAAATAATCATTATTAATAAACCTAGGATCAGTGTGGCATTTTTGCAGGATCATCAATCCGTTATTATTTTTTGCAAAAAGGGAAATTAGTTTTGAGGTCTCTACTTTCGGAGGGTCGTTATTTTCGGGGGGATAGCCACTTTCGGGATTCGCTAGCATCTGTAACATTTTACTGCTACTTTCGGAGGTTCGCTTTTTTCGAGGGGTCGTTACTTTCGGAACGTCCGGTAATAATTCAGATCCAGCGCTTTGGAAAATACCAGTTTCTTCAGCCAGCGATCAGAGGTCAATGTCTGATAGAGCAAACATAAGAAACCACAGGCAGCTACTTTACAGTAAAAGACCACATGACCTCCCAGTGAAAGAAAATTAGTGGCAACAAAACATTTGCTCAATCCGCACGTCTGCGAATCCTCCGAAACAGACCTTACCCCCTAAGGAGACTAAAACACGTTTGTGAGTCAGGGCTTGTCAACTCTTTCACAGTATTTTCAAGTTTACTACACAACCAGTGAATTAGAATTGCAAAAAAATTCATTTTGTTATAAATCATTTATCATAAAAAAGGTGGACCTCTGGGGCCTGTGGAGGGTGCGAGCGCACCAGTCGTACCCCCCTCCCTACGGGCCTGTACCTTAACAAATCCTTCAACTTCATTTTGGAATGGTGTCGCCTGTTCATTCAACTCTGTCTTCGGTATACAGTGAACACTTTTCATTTTCAGCTTAAGGTGGAGAATGCCTGAGTGGCTGAAAATTATTAAGGTAATTGCTGCCAAGATGGAGACCAGAAGGTGGACTTTTTTGCCGCTTGAAAATGCCATTCCAGTCACCTGGCCCTATCAAAGAGGAAACAATACCTGCTTTTAGCCAAACGTTAAAAGCAGTGATAAAGCCACCTTTATATGGCTTTCAAAAAGTGAATACAGCGTGAAAAATAGAGACCAAATTTCTTGCACAAGTTGAAGCTTTGTTCATGTTCCCGTCATATGACAGTCAGGGTTTTTTTCACTGGGAGCTCTTATATCCTGCCATACAACGTGGAACTGTTTATCATATAGATGTATAAGTTTCCTTTGCATGACTGCGGGTATAACCTTTCTTGCTCAGTCATTTTTTTTTTCTCATTTCTTTCCTGTATACATATACATATATATGTATCTAGCCGGATTTTTGATAACGTTATCGCCAAATTGACCTTTTGCGTCCAACGTAGCCATTATAAAACTAAGAGTGCAACCATTACTTTTTTCTTTTCTCCTTTCCATCTCCTCGCTCTTTCTTTTTCTCCTTTCCTTTACCATTGTTACTGTCATTGTGGAGCTTCTCGGGCTTACGAAACCTGCCTTTTTTACTCTTTTTCACCCAAATGACTGCACACTTCGTTAGGTTGGTTTTAAAAAATCGGCTAGATAGGCATTTTGTGTTATTTTCATTATTACCGCCCGCTACGTCCGTCTTGCGGGATGAATGATCATGAATTACAGTGCCACAATATAGAACTCACACTCTTATTTGTAAACTCGATAACTGCAAATGGGAATCGTGAAACCAGTTACCCATTCTGTTCTTGAATCTGCTGCAGGGCAAAGTGAAATGGAAGTTGTTCTACGACGCAAAAACGATGTTAAGTTTGTGTCGTCGTTTTCCCTGTAAATTTCAAATTGCTTTATTTTATGTGGCCAAATAAAGAATCGTGAAATTTACGAACAAAGCGCTGACACAAACATCGTTTTTGCATCGTAGGACTACTTCCATTTCACTTTGCTCCACAGCAGATTCAAGAACAGAACAGGTAAGCTTTTACCTTTTATTTAATTGCCATTTATTCATGTTGTTTTCAAATAAGAGTGTTGTTTCATTTATATGGTGCGACAAACCGTGAACACTTGAAATATCTCAGGAATGTTTATTGTGTTATGACCAACCACAGCAAAAGGTCAAAACACGCGAACTGGCTACAAAACCGCAAACTAAATTAATTAACCTTCCTTGCGGTTTTAGTTTTCTCACGCCTGATTTATGGAGGCCCGTTCTGGTCCAAATCATGACAATAAAATTGCACTACAAGTCTGTTCTACAAGCTGTTTTTCACATTGTTTAGTTTTGTGTTGTTGCTATAGTTTGGTGTCAAGCCTAGATGCTTCTTAAGTTATGCACACCAAACAGTGCCGGGGGCTGTTGTTTGTTTCACACGCGACCACAAGTCATCATTCAAACTAACTGAGAATTATCGACTCTTCTGAGTTTTTCACTTTCATCAGCTTTCATGTACTAGGAAAGCTAAATACTTATATCTTTGTAGATTTTCAGTTCGAAAGGGTTGTTTTGTTTGTGATAGAGTACTAATGGATTTCTAAGCTTTTGCCAGTACTCGCTCCTTTGGTGTGTTCTAATAACTTGAATGCGTTTTTCACACTTTATTACAGAGATACATGAAGATACCGTAAAATTCCGAAAATAAGCCCCTCCATGTATAAGCCCCTCCAAATATATTAGCCCCCCAAAATCGTAACGCAAAAAACCCTCCGTTAAATCGCCCCTCCGAATATAAGCCCCCCGAGGGCCTTGTACTTGGAATTTGCCGTCGAATACAAAGTAAAACAAAGCAAAAATGGTAAATTTCCTTCCAACTACAAGCTAGCCCAATCGATTTTGAAACGCAAATTTCCCTCCGTACATAAGCCCCTCCAAAAATAAGCCCCTCAAAAAGGGCCTTTGGAAAATATCAGCCCCGGGGCTTTTTTTCGGAATTTTACGGTATTGAGAATATTGTTAAAAATGGTCTCCAAAAGATTTCGGTATAAAAACAAAACGCCCCGTAGAATCTTCTAATGAATATACCGCACCTTCATACCCTCGAACTTTCGGCCGGAACCATCGGGGTAGCTAAAACTTTCGAGACGACCAAACTTCTCCTAAGACATCCGAACAGATAAATAGTTTTAGGGCAACCCCATATTGACTAAACAAGCTTCTAAAGCGTAACGAAAACCATCTGAGACACTTATGCAAGTCTTTGGAATCATGGTATACCTTTCTTTCCACCTTTAAATGCCTATCCTGCATTTGGCGAACGACAAAGAAACAAATTCCATATCCAGTAGAGGTCTGACTGAAAATGGTTGTCAAAGCAGTAAAATACAGTCCTTTGCTCACGCAATTAAAATTAAATGAAAATCGAAGCCGTTAATTCAAAGAATAAAGTAAAGAACCTAGTAAAATATTAATAAAGATGGATGTCTATGCTTTTTTCATGCGCGAGATATTCATAGAAAGGTTTTACTCAAAGACCTCAAATATATAGAGAGCTATGTATAGTGGTAGAGGTAAGCCCGCAGCCCGGTTAGCCGGCCTGAAGAATGTCTGCGTGGGAGGCTAGCTTGGTTCATACCTTGTTTCCTCCCTTAACCCTTTTCACTGCCAAATGTATATCCAAAGGCAAATTTCGACAAGATTTCCAAATTTCATTTTGTAAAATTTTGAAAAACAAATAGTACCACGTGTAAGTACAGGCAGAGAGCTTTCATTTGAATGTTCACATCATAGGATTCCGTCCTAAGACTCAAAAGTTAGAGCCACCTTACAAATTCTATCAAACACTCTGGCAGTGAAAGGGTTAAAATTGACGTGGTGTTTAGATGAGAAGGCGGGCTGGCTCGCTTGCCGAGATCCCGGTTGCTTGAGCCACAGCTCTTTTAAACTTGAATATCCCGTCACGCAAAAGCTTCGAAATTCAAACATGCTTCAACACACAACGAAAAAAGCACTATCAAATGAAAAATTTTTAAACAGATAAGTGTTTAGCTGCACTAATATCTAACTACATTAAAAATTCGGAAGGGCTAATCCGTTGACACCTGAAACCGAGATGTACATCAAACGCTTCGACTACAAAAGCGGCGATACAACTCAGTGAACTCACGATTATTTCACTCTATGCCCCTAGCAAGCAAAACTGGTCAGTTGTGAAGCCAATCTCGTTTTCCTAACCGCTTGGTAAACATAAAAACATAAAAGAAGGAAGATATAGGTCTATTTGAGTCCTTTCCAGGCTGCCAGGGATATATTTAACACTTACTTGAAATAGTAGGTCGCCCGGCGATGGGATCCAATCAGTTCTTGATAACCGATGAACGGTATGTAGCACATAAGACTAAAGAAAGCACTATAAATTATGCAATCAAACCATGCACCCATGAAACTCCCTTGGAAACTACGCATGCTATTAATTCTTTGACTTGCGAATTTGCAAACACTGAACGTTAACTTTGGAATTGTCAGCTAAATTGTTTCTAAGCTTGTGAGCAAAGCTCATTACAGTCAAGGCAGGTCAAGGATACCCACCAAGATTCTAAACTTGTTGTTGTTGTTGTTGCCATTAATGAATTGATTATTTGAAAAATGAATTCGTTAGTCGTTCCCGTAACTGGTGTCAAATTACAGCTGAAATTAGCAGTGAATATTTTACGAGAACTTTTCTGTATTTGGTCAGATTGAAAATCTTTGAATGGATTAAGTTTCTTAGAAGACATTTACATCAAATTCAAGAAAACGGAGTAGGTAGAAATTGCATAACTGCCTCGCGTGAGAATTCACTGCTCATTACGCATGCAAGATGTAGAGATCAATCTGAAAAGACTGAAATCTACAACTACCGATAGCCTGCGTAGCTGGCGGTATTGTGTGGGTGCGAGATTAAAGTTTTGGCGGCTCCGCCGTCAAATCTCACTCGACTGCTACTCAATACCGCCAGCTACGCAGCCCAGAACTACCGACGAAGTCCACTTTTGAATAATAAATTCACTGTGAAGTATACACGAAATAATTCATTTTTGAACTGCGGTTGTAGATGAAAGTGAAGAATGATCATCGCAGTAAATTTTCCAATTTAAGCAATTGGAAAGAAGAAGACCGAAAAAACAGGCTTCTTCTTTCCAATTGCTTAAATTGGAAAGTTTACTGCGATGATCATTCTTCACTTTTAATAAATTCATTAACGGATACTTGGGGGGTACGCTTCATTGAACTGGTTTGACTGTAAACCAAATGCAAATGACGCAGCGAAATTAAATGTGTTACTCCGGCAATCCTAATTCGTGAGCTATTTTCTTCTCCATGTTAGGATAGGGATAAAAACGTTACAAGGATTTGAAAGCAAGTGTCAGGTAAGTTTTGATCTCAGAACAAGGAGTGGCGAAATTATGCACAATTCGCGTAGAGACAACAGCACGTTGCTCGAAAATCCGAGATTTGCGGCAAACACGAAATAAACTGTCACTAAAAAGTTATCTAAAACACAAACTGGACATTTTGGGATCAAATGAAAATAGTTTTCTGAATAACATTCGCCAATCTTCTTGGAGTTAAGTTGAGAATGAATTGCTTTTCACAGTGTCCTCTCACAATGGCGACCTGACAAACAAACTAAGCTGCAATGGGCTTGAACAATCAGTCTTGGGAATTCCACGGTCAAAATTCACACATTTTATTCTTAGGAATTCCTAGGATATTCCTAAGAATTCCTAAATCTCTTTTGAAGGGTTCGTTTCAGATTGATTTGGAATTTGGGAGTGGGGGAAAGCCACATTTTCATGAAAGTGGAGTCAGTTGCAAGATATCGACCCTGCTTGAGGATGTCAAGCTAGAAACGAAAACTTTGGAAGCCATCCTAATCTGAAAATTTGCCATCAGATGTCACCTTGCTAGAGACAAAGTTATATGGCCGGAAACAAACATTGTGCGTAGTCAGTGAACTCTTGGAATTACTAGCGAGTCTAAAGATTTTCTCGGTTTTCATATGAGGACACCAAAATTCAAACAA